AATTGACATTCACGGCGGCCTAAGGATTAATATAGGCCTCATTTCATAATAAGAAGTGTCGTAAACTGTTTCCTGGTGGAGAGTGAGGGAACGTGATTTACGGGACCACGGTAATAGAGTGGTAAAAAGTGTGATAAGAGTAGGACCGGGTGTCAGGTGCACGGCCAGGGTGTGTCCAGGGGACATACCCGTGTGTTTAATCTCGCTCATCGGCCTCAGATCTTAATGGAGTGACCTCTAATTTGTGTAATAGTTATGAGACGTTAAATCGTCTTGTGAATGGTAATGTAATCAGTGATAATAACATTGAGTTAAGAGAATGCGGGATGTGAAATAGAGCGCCTTGCTCCGAGTGAACGTGTGACTCTCGTACCGGGGATAATGGAGATTTATGGAATCACGACTTCTAACCGGGACAAACCGACGGATACCTCGTCCTGCCGGAATGAGAACCGTGTCGGTGTAGCAGGACATCGAAACTGAGATGGTGAATGGAAGAAATAAGGAGTATCAATCACCCACAGTTAAGTAACCCTTCTAGTTATAGCAAACTTATGCTGGCCAGTAGTGGTATGTTATAATTAGATAGGTTATGAGTGATCCAGCTACATCAAGTGACCACCAGAGAACATCTGGTAAGTGGTGGGATTATGTACAAATGTTTTCCTTGATGGATGTATCCAGGTGTATCCTACCCCCTCCCCTTCATTCAGCGAAAACTAATAAAATCTATACAGTCCACAATTAACTAGTAGCACCGTACTTGTGTGTGCTACCCAATCCATACTGGTCTCGGATAGATATGGATAAGATTGTGAGGTCGAAGGGGCCACCTGTAGTGACCAGAGGTGGTTAAGTTTTCTCACATGTCTACCCGGGGTGACTACGGTAAACAATATGGTCGTCTCCCAATGAGATTACTTGTATGTATATAATGTTGAGGTACATACAGATAAACACCCTAGAAAATTTTCCATATATATAAATATATATATATATATATATATATATATATATATATATATATATATATATATATATATATATATATATATATATATATATATATATATATATATATATATATATATATATATATATTATATATATATATATATATATATATATATATATATATATATATATATATATATATATATATACATATATATATATATATGTATATATATAATATATATATATATATATATATATATATATAATATATATATATATATATATATATATATATATATATACATATATATATATATATATATATATATATATATATATATATATATATATATATATATATATATATATATATATGTAAGTATGTTTCTCCTTAATTGCGTCATTAGATATCTTCGTTTTCTTCTTCTCTCTCTCAGTCTGTTGTCTAGAAAACGTAGAAGGGCCAACGGATTCAGTTCTACCTCTTGCATCCTCATTAGTATCCTGGAACGTTAATTAAGTTTATTCAGGTATACACAAATACAGTTACGTAGATTATCATACATAGCAGCATATGTGTAGAGAATAACCCAAATAACCCACCACAGCCAAGCAGTGTGGCTTATTATCGCTGTGGTATTTAGATCCTGCCCGAGAATGCCACCCATAACAGTTTGCTAACACCCATGTACCTATTCACTGCTAAATGAACAATAAGAATTGATTTTTGGTTTCCTGACCCGGTATTCAACCCGGGGACTTTCGGTTGTGAGTCGAACGCTCTACCGTTGCTCTAATACGACTGAAATAGTATAAATCCATTCACCCTCATAGTTGAGTGATTTATCCTAAAATACAAAAGCCCTGGGTTCGATTCCCGATCTAGTCGGGAAGTTTGCATCCCTAGTATCCTAGAATATATATTGTTAGTGTCTGTATACCTACTTTCTCTGCTTACCTTATAGTTAACAACTGTACGTATGTTATTCTGTTTACATCTGCTGCCACGGTTCACCTATCAGGTAACAGGTGCCTTGGCTTTAGTCCCCTTATACCTGCTGCCCATGTTCACATAGTAGTTCATAAGTACTTAAGCCTTAGTCCCCCTTACATATGACTGTAACCTTCAAATGCATCAAACTCCATCTTCCACCAACTGCCCATATTCTCATGGAAAATAGGCAGTTCAAAGAAAATGAGCAGTCGTGGGTTACATCCTAGGGAGAGACCCCAGTGGGTTACATCCCCAGTTTGTTACAACAGGACAAGTGTTTCCTGACGCTGGTCTTCAGGTTAGGTAAGGTAAGGTTTGTCAGGAAACAGGACAAGTGTTTCCTGACGCTGGTCTTCAGGTTAGGTTAGGTAAGGTTTGTCAGGAAACATGACAAGTGTTTCCTGACGCTGGTCTTCAGGTTAGGTTAGGTAAGGTTTGTCAGGGAACAGAACAAGTGTTTCCTGACGCTGGTCTTCAGGTTAGGTTAGGTAAGGTTTGTCTGGAAACAAGACAAGTGTTTCCTGACGCTGGTCTTCAGGTTAGGTTAGGTAAGGTTTGTCAGGGAACAGAACAAGTGTTTCCTGACGCTGGTCTTCAGGTTAGGTAAGGTAAGGTTTGTCAGGAAACAGGACAAGTGTTTCCTGACGCTGGTCTTCAGGTTAGGTTAGGTAAGGTTTGTCAGGAAACAGAACAAGTGTTTCCTGACGCTGGTCTTCAGGTTAGGTTAGGTAAGGTTTGTCAGGAAACAAGACAAGTGTTTCCTGACGCTGGTCTTCAGGTTAGGTTAGGTAAGGTTTGTCAGGAAACAGGACAAGTGTTTCCTGACGCTGGTCTTTAGGTTAGGTTAGGTAAGGTTTGTCAGGAAACAGAACAAGTGTTTCCTGACGCTGGTCTTCAGGTTAGGTTAGGTAAGGTTTGTCAGGGAACAGAACAAGTGTTTCCTGACGCTGGTCTTCAGGTTAGGTTAGGTAAGGTTTGTCAGGGAACAGAACAAGTGTTTCCTGACGCTGGTCTTCAGGTTAGGTTAGGTAAGGTTTGTCTGGAAACAGGACAAGTGTTTCCTGACGCTGGTCTTCAGGTTAGGTTAGGTAAGGTTTGTCAGAAACAGGACAAGTGTTTCCTGACGCTGGTCTTCAGGTTAGGTTAGGTAAGGTTTGTCAGGAAACAGGAAAAGTGTTTCCTGACGCTGGTCTTCAGGTTAGGTTAGGTAAGGTTTGTCAGGAAACAGAACAAGTGTTTCCTGACGCTGGTCTTCAGGTTAGGTTAGGTAAGGTTTGTCAGGAAACAGGACAAGTGTTTCCTGACGCTGGTCTTCAGGTTAGGTTAGGTAAGGTTTGTCAGGAAACAGGACAAGTGTTTCCTGACGCTGGTCTTCAGGTTAGGTTAGGTAAGGTTTGTCAGGAAACAGAACAAGTGTTTCCTGACGCTGGTCTTCAGGTTAGGTTAGGTAAGGTTTGTCAGGAAACAGGACAAATGTTTCCTGACGCTGGTCTTCAGGTTAGGTTAGGTAAGGTTTGTCAGGAAACAGGACAAGTGTTTCCTGACGCTGGTCTTCAGGTTAGGTTAGGTAAGGTTTGTCAGGAAACAGGACAAATGTTTCCTGACGCTGGTCTTAGTCATATAAAGACCCACAGCTGGAGCTTTTGGTAATCTGACTGAGGTCTTCCACTGGCTTACCCTTCACCTCTTTAAAAAGTATAGTTATAATTATAACTATTAAATTATAAGGTAATTCCTTGGTATTAACACTTCCAGCTGGAGTTTACCTGGAGAGAGTTCAGGGGGTCAACGCCCCCGCGGCCCGGTCTGTGACCAGGCCTCCTGGTGGATCAGAGCCTGATCAACCAGGCTGTTGCTGCTGGCTGCACGCAAACCAACGTACGAGCCTCAGCCCGGCTGGTAAGGAACCGACTTTAGGTGCTTGTCCAGTGCCAGCTTGAAGACTGCCAGGGGTCTGTTGGTAATCCCCCTTATGTATGCTGGGAGGCAGTTGAACAGTCTCGGGCCCCTGACACTTATTGTATGGTCTCTTAACGTGCTAGTGACACCCCTGCTTTTCGTTGGGGGGATGGTGCATCGTCTGCCAAGTCTTTTGATTTCGTAGTGAGTGATTTTCGTGTGCAAGTTCGGTACTAGTCCATCTAGGATTTTCCAGGTGTATATAATCATGTATCTCTCCCTCCTGCGTTCCAGGGAATACAGGTTTAGGAACCTCAAGCGCTCCCAGTAATTGAGGTGTTTTATCTCCGTTATGCGCGCCGTGAAGGTTCTCTGTACATTTTCTAGGTCAGCAATTTCACCTGCCTTGAAAGGTGCTGTTAGGTGCAGCAATATTCCAGCCTAGATAGAACAAGTGACCTGAAGAGTGTCATCATGGGCTTGGCCTCCCTAGTTTTGAGGGTTCTCATTATCCATCCTGTCATTTTTCTAGTAGATGCGATTGATACAATGTTATGGTCCTTGAAGGTGAGATCCTCCGACATGATCACTCCCAGGTCTTTGACGTTGGTGTTTCGCTCTATTTTGTGGCCAGAATTTGTTTTGTACTCTGATGAAGATTTAATTTCCTCGTGTTTACCATATCTGAGTAATTGAAATTTCTCATCGTTGAACTTCATATTGTTTTCTGCAGCCCACTGAGAGATTTGGTTGATGTCCGCCTGGAGCCTTGTCGGATATGAGGATGAGGAACAAGATGGGAGCAAGTACTGTGCCTTGTGGAACAGAGCTTTTCACCGTAGCTGCCTCGGACTTTGCTCTGTTGAGTAAATTTTTATCTTACAGTGATATATATACACTAAGTGATGTTTCTATCTGTATATACACTAAAAGTATATTTAATCGCTTTTTTAGGCATTACAGTCTCCTTGATTGGTGGTGCACAGGTGAGAAGAAGCCTCAGTTACCCTCATGTAGACAGACTTCAAATCTGAAAAACCAACCACCGATTTTCCAGCAACTATTTGGTTGGATTGTATAGTTATTTGCGACTTCAATTGTTGTGTTTTTTGATGAATTAGTATAGAAAAAAAAGGAGAAAGAAAAATGGTTCATGAATCCAGTTTTATTCCGACACACAAGAAATATTGGTGGATATCGTTCCACCTGAGGAATGTCATATTTGTCTCTCACTATGCTAATCTTTGTGGATATTGTGCCACCTGAGGAATGTCTTATTTGTCTCTCACTATGCTAATCTTGGTGGATATCGTGCCACCTGAGGAATGTCTTATTTGTCTCTCACTATGCTAATCTTGGTGGATATCGTGCCACCTGAGGAATGTCTTATTTGTCTCTCACTATGCTAATCTTTGTGGATATTGTGCCACCTGAGGAATGTCTTATTTGTCTCTCACTATTGCTAATCTTGGTGGATATCGTTGCCACCTGAGAAGATGTCTTATTTTGTCTCTCACTATGCTAATCTTGGTGGATATCGTGCCACCTGAGGAATGTCTTATTTGTCTCTCACTATGCTAATCTTGGTGGATATCGTGCCACCTGAGGAATGTCTTATTTGTCTCTCACTATGCTAATCTTTGGTACATATGATGAGATTCTTTACTGATTACCACCAGCAAACTATATTTCGTGGGTCACCAAATTTCTTCTTTACGAAGCAAGTTATAGAATTGGGAAGATTTTACACAAGTTAGTCCTTAACATTAGTTAGTCCTGTCGTAGATCTGTCTAAGATCATCCTAGAAGAGACATTCGAATACAAATGTCTCACAAACTTCGTACAAGTTTGTCTAGAGACACATGAAGTCTTAAGTGGACTTCCTTCCTTCTTGATTCGCCTGGAATTCAAGGTAAAGAATGATCATTGTGTATTACTGAACACCTCCAGTGAGACTCCTCAACTCGCGTTTATAGCTATAATCTTGTCTTCAATAATATTATAACTAGAAATTATAGTGATTGAGACACTCACAATGACTGTTGCTCAAATGAGCGAAATGAAGGTAGTCATATATGTCAATATATAAATATTTATCTGTACATACGAGTCCATCAACAACGGAACGACAACAGCTGCCATTGACTAGGAAGAGGGTAGGACACACTGTCAACTGATAGTGACTTCTCAGGTGATGGTGACTCCAAGTCCATGTGATAGTGGCTCCGGGTGGGTGGTTTCCTTCGATAATTATTCTGTGGTAATTCAAGCAGTTTATTGAACTATTGCTCTCCAGGCCCACTAGGGAGAAGCACTAGCGCTCCGACTGTTCCTCTGGTAATTCTGGAGGATGTGCATATATGGTATTCAACACAATTTGAAGAATTCGACGCATGTGTAACATCTAATGCTGTACATGTGTCTAATTCTTCAATCCTGGAGGAACATTTAGGAGTTCCTGGACGTTTTTAGGTTCCGAGATTGTGTCTCAACCCTCACTGGCTTCCCTACACTTGTGATACCGTCTTTAAATTGCAGTATCAACAAAATAACGCACTAGCATGTTTCCTGACGGCTTCAACTTGCCCAGGGAGTCCGGAAATTCGCTATTAGTTATCAAGATATTAAGAAAGTGTTCAGTCATCCAACAGTTTCCTCAAGTGGTCAAAAATGTCTTAAGTTCAGTCACACAGACTCGGTCAGATCAACAGTTGATTATTATCATGGGGGAGTTTGGTAGCTGTGGCGGGCGAGGTGTACCAGATGGTGGTGTTAGTAGTATTTGTGGCAGGAAGTGGCTTGTGTTGTGGAGGAGATGGTAAGATGAGGCATGGGTAGTTATGGTAGACACATCGACTTATTTGCCGACAGTTTGGACGCCGGAGATGTACTCGTCGACAACGTCTACAAGGAGCAGGTCATCCAGACATTGACGGAACACCATGTTACTGTAGCAGTTTCCCCTGTGGAAGATGATTATTAATTAGTACATGAAGGTGAAACGCCATGGACTAAGAGCCATAGTAGTGTATTTTGGTACAGGTACACATAAATACAGTTACACAAATTATCATACATAGTAATATATGTGTAAATTACCTAGAATAAATAAAAAAAAACAGAGTCTTATTTCCACTGGGGTCCTTGACCATTATACACTAAGACCCTTAATACCAAGTGAATATTAAGTGCCACTAACAGTGGCAGTAAAATACTCAATTTTTTTTATAAATAAACTAAATCTCCAAAAACAAAATAACTGGTATTAGAAAACTAAACTTAGTATGCAAATTATAAGTGTGTGACTTAATTCTGTAAATAATTTAGAATTGTAGTAAATAATTTAGAATTGTAGAAGAGTAGTAATATACAATTGAAAATGAATACCTTGTCAGAATTACCGACAAAATTTAAGATAAATGGACATAGATGCAACTACTGCCCATCTTTCACCTCATGTGGTACTTATATACACACCTTCTGTGTCCTCGTAATGTTTGTAACGACAAAGCTCCTGGAGAGCGAAACGTTGCCACAATAAAGTTTAGTTGCATGTGTGTCCATTTACGAGTACTACCTTGTTAGATCAATATACGAAAGATATTGTACGAGTTTACCAAAATCATCCCTTTGGTTATAGTTGCATTCCTCCAGGAGTGTGTGGCACTTGTAGGATGCTCCTGAGTGCTGCTGAAGGGCCAGGGTTCTAGCCTATTGATCATGTCCCTAATGTCGATGTACATCCCCAGGTCCAGGCCCAGTTCCCTCACACACACTGGGAATGCCTTACCACTGAAGCAGTTATCCCTGTTATGTTGCCAAGAAAACGAAACGGGGGGGGAAAAACCTTTTTAAAAAAGGGGAAAAAAGGGGTCCCAACGGTTGAAAAATTAAAATTATTTCAAACAATTGAATTAAAAAACTTATAAAAAACCCAAAATTTTAAGTTTAAAAAAATAAATAAAAAAGAGAAATCGTATTGAAACAAACTTTTCCCATTTTAAAAAAAAAATTAAATTATAAAAAAAAATTAAAATCATTATGAAAAATAAAAATTAATGTAACGGGAAAAAAAAAAATAAAAAATTTAAAAATACTCTTTTACAAATTAAATTAATTTTGGGAAAAATAAAAAAAAAATTAAAACTAAACTAAAAATTAAAAAAACCAAAAAAATTTGGTTAACCAAAAAAATCGATTCTTGAAAGGGGAAGGATCGAACTGTGGCAAGAATTAAAAAAAAAAGGGAGGGGGTCGAACTGGGGTACCTTGGTAGAAGACTTGGGGTACGTAGAGGGTACACAGTAAGGGGGTTGGTGGTCCCCTTTAAACGGGGGTTTCTTTCTTGGAAGGCATTTCCCCCCGCCCGGGGATAGCAACGTAGGGTTTGTTACAAGGAGGGATTCCTGGGGAAAACAAAGGGAAGGGTACCTAGTATACTTCTAAGATTAACTGGAAGGGTCCCTAGCGGGGGTTCCGGGTGGGGTTTAACACTATCCTGCAAGCAAAATTTTGGGGGTATTTGGTTTGGGGGGGGTTGGGGTTGGTTGGGGGGTGGGGGAAAAACATTGTTTTTGGGATAATTTTTTAGGAGGGGAAAACCTAGTTCTAGCAAAAGTCCCCGGAAGGTGAACCGGGTTTGGGGTGGGCACCCTCCCCTTCAAGGGAACACAAAGGAGGGGATACCAAAAGTATTTGCATCCAGCAGAGCACCTGAAGGTGTAGCTCGTAGTCCCCGGTGTCGTGGGCGCTCACCTCCCGGGAGGCAGAACCGAAAAGGTTTAGATAGAGGTTGTAACAATCACACAAACTCGGTCAAGCTTTTTGAAGGTGCTCGGTCCCTAGACGCCCCTTTTTAAGCTTGGTCGAACACTTTTCTCTTTTGAGGGTGTTTATCTGGGGAGAGGAAACCCAGAGGGGTGGGAAAATGACCCGGGCCCCAGCATCGTTCCGCCTCACCGACCCCTTTCCCCGGACCGTCCACGGCCCCATCGGGGCCCCGTGTGCACTACGACGACCATCGCCCCCACCACCAGTTGGGCCACATCTGTTGGAGGAGGGAGGAATGGGGGAACCATCCACAAACCCCATTTCCCAAGGGACTGCCACCAAATAATAAGCTTTTAATAATTTAAAACATAATAACAAAAATAATAATATTAATATTAAATTTAAAAATAAAAAAATCACCGGAAAGAAAAAGTTGGAGGTTTGGGGACATACGCCCGCTTTAAAAAAAAGGGTTTTGATGACCCCCCACAAAGGGAAGAGTGACCCCCGTAGCCCCCCCAAACCCCGTGGGGCCAGGGCTGAAAGTCCCCTCCCGGAGACACTCATTAGGCGAAGAGTGGAAAAAAAATGAATACAAAGGGATGGTCCCAGTGTAGATGAAACCTTTAAGGGAAAGGGAAAGGGGTTAAAAACGTCTTGGGGTTTCATTTAGCCCGTTTGGAAAAAATAATACGAAAAAGAACCCTTTTAAATGAACTTGTTGACTTTAGGGCTGAGGGAGACTGCATCATCCCGCCCCCCTTTTCATTATTCTATCATGCGGAGAACCACATGTCTATTTGCATCCAACTTTAAACAGCAGATTCCCTTTGGTTTGTCAAATAGTTCGGGTTTGGGAGCGCACCCTCTCACCACGAGATCCGGGGTTTAGTCCCCGGTTAAAAAGAAGTATTGGGCCCTTTTTTCCTTTTAAACGCCTCCGGTTTTTGTTTTATCTAGCAGTAAGTAGGCCCGGGGGCTAGTCATTTTTACCCTGCTCTTTCACCCAACAGTAGGGAGGTTTTCGGGGGTTAGTGAAAAAGGGGTGGGTGGGTTTAAAGGGGATAAAATTAACCCCAAATTGGGTTTGGAAAAAGGGTTTGCTAATAAGGGGCTTTCTTTAGTATGACAGTGATGTCAGCTATGGTCTGTATAAGTTGCATAATGTACTTGTAAAAATATACATTATAATTAATATATTACCTTCCGGCTCTGGTTGGATATGTATCACTGGAAGGTTGTCAGCATCACCAGCTGATGTAAGATGAGAAAGATTAGATAGTGTTCGTATTTTTAGCCCCGGAAGGTTAGCTACCCCAGGATAACGCAAGAAATTCAATGTGTCATAGTACATTTATGCCAACAACATTTGGGGTTCCCAGGGGTCACCCATCCAACTACCAACCAAACCCAGCATTGCTTATCTTAGCTGATGCTGATGTAAACTCGGCCAGATGGGATACTTTCACAGCCTGCATCATTTTGTGCATGAAATGTGTTAAAAATTAATACATAGATCATTCGTTCACAAATGCTTAAGAATTGTTAAAGTATTTTATCCACAGTGGTATACATGTATTTTATCCACAGTGGTATACATGTATTTTATCCACAGTGGTATACATGTATTTTATCCTCAGTGGAATACATGTATTTTATCCTCAGTGGTATACATGTATTTTATCCACAGTGGTATACATGTATTTTATCCACAGTGATATACATGTATTTATCCCACAGTGGTATAACATGTATTTTATCCTCAGTGGAATACATGTATTTTATCCTCAGTGGTATACATGTATTTTACCCACAGTGGTATACATGTATTTTATCCACAGTGGTATACATGTATTTTATCCTCAGTGGTATACATGTATTTTATCCACAGTGGTATACATGTATTTTATCCACAGTGGTATACATGTATTTTATCCTCAGTGGAATACATGTATTTTATCCACAGTGTTATACATGTATTTTACCCACAGTGGTATACATGTATTTTATCCACAGTGGTATACATGTATTTTATCCTCAGTGGTATACATGTATTTTATCCACAGTGGTATACATGTATTTTATCCACAGTGATATACATGTATTTTATCCTCAGTGGTATACATGTATTTTATCCACAGTGGTATACATGTATTTTATCCACAGTGGTATACATGTATTTCCAACCAATCTAAAAATATCTTGACTGAGCCTGTTGTCAATAATTCATAACCAGAAAAAAGGAATGGTTATAACTGACCATGATTTTTAAAGGGGTGGACCGGTAAGCCAGCGGAAGGCCTTGGTCAGATGACCAAAAGCTCCAACGGCGGGTCATCATCTGACTAAGACCCGGGTCAGGAGACACTTTCTCTCTTTCCTGACGAACCTTACCTAACCTAACCTATTTACCTGGAGTTTACCTGAAGAGAGTTCCAGGACTCAACACCCCCGCGGCCCGGTCTGTGACCAGGCCTGGTGAATCAAAGCCTGATCAACCAGGTTGTTACTTAAACTTTTTTTTTTTAAATTCACCATATCTTACTAAAATATAAGATAATGTACATAATTCAGAAGTATATATTAGCTACACTGATATTTTTGTGACTGAATTCATGCTTGCATAAATGACTTATTACTACTGTAGCCAGATATACACGTGTAAATAGTTCGTTATCACGGTAACGTGCTTAGTTATCAAAAGTGTGCGACCTGGACCCATTATGTACCTCTTGTTATGTTGAGGTACAGCCCCTGGGGCCCTGGGGGCCTTTTTGTCATCTTTTGTACACTAATGGATGAAAAATGAGAAATTAAAGGTTGGGGAAGAATAATGGGGAATTTTAAATTTTTTAGGTAAGAAAATGAGAATATTAAAGGTTAGGAAAGGAATAATGAGTTTTTAAAAGGGGTTGGGTTTAAGAATAATGTAAATAAAAAGGTTTTAGGAAAGGGAATAATGAAAATTTTAAAAAGGTTAGGTAAGAAAAATGGAATATTAAAAGGTTAGGAAAGGAATAATGGAATAAAAAGGGTTTGGGAAAGGAATAATGAAAATTTTTAAAAGGTTTAAAGGAAAAGAAAAATGAGAATTTTAAAAAGGTTGGGGTTAAGAATAATGGAATTTTAAAAGGGTTTTAGGTAAGAATAATAAAGAATTTTAAAAGGTTAGGTAAAAATTAATGAGAATTTT